TTTCTTTTTATGCCTCCTTCTAGCTTATAATCTACTATAATTATAATACCTTATTTTAGCGTTTTAATATTAATTAATATAATATTAAATATTTAGCTACCTTAATAATAGCTAAATATATTAGTATATACTTTATTAGTATTAATTACTTACTATAATCTAATATATCTATTATAGCTAATCTACTAATAATAATACTCTTATAATAATTATTATTTTTAAATAGATAATTTAAAAATAAAATAACTATATCTAAATATAACCTTTTTAACCTTTTTAGTATAAACCTGCTAATTATATTAATTCCTATAATAACCTGCCTTATATAATTACTAAACTGCTTCTATAATATAGCCTATTATATTATTATAGAATATAGCGGCCGCTTATCTTTATCCTTTAATTCTATTTATTGCTAAATATATATTAATATTCTCTATCTCTCTTTATATTTAGGCTATATATTATCCTCTATCCTGCTATTAAATAGTATTATTATTGTTATATAGGCCTCCTTTTACTTAATCTTAAATAATTTAGCTAACCTTAAGCTATATTAAATAGCAGCTTTATATACTTTATTTAATATAGAATTAAATATTACCTACTTTTACTATAATATAGGCTTATTATTTTTAATTACTTATATTAACTATTATAATATATTTAGTTTAAATCTATTTAAATATATTAGCTATTCTATCTAATTTAACTATAGGCTTACCTCTTATTTATTATAAATATTCTGTATTTATATTTTATTCTTACTTTTAAATATATCTTTATTCTCTTAATAAATTTACTTTAAAAACTTAATTACTTAATTAATACCTTCTTATAGTTAATCTTTATCTTTATAAACCTTAATACTATATTTAATTTTAATAAAATTACTTTTTACTTAAGACTAAAATAATTACTAGTATTATATACCTTCTCTTTATAGCTTTTTAGTTATTATTATTTATTTTATATATTATTCTCTTTTATAGCTATTAATAAATCTATACTCTACCTTATAATAATTTAAAATATATCTATTATTTAATTCTATATATTTATATTTATTATAACCCTTACTATTATCTTTAGGCAGTAATATATATAGAATCTATTTTATAGTTAGTAATAGTAGTTCTTACTGCTTTAACTTTACCTAATTCTTAATAATATTAAGAATTATATTAATTACTTTTTATACTTACCTTACTTTAAATTTAGTTATTAATATATAGTTATTCTTTAAATATATTAATATTTTATTTATAATATATATATATTTGCATTTTATATAAATAAGGAATAGAAATGCTAATAAATAATATATAAATAGGTCTATATTATATATATATTAGAAAATTAGATAGTTATTTAATTATAATACTTAATATTTTTATCTCTTTATTTTTACTATTACTTTCTTTTATTAGCCCTTTAATCTTAAATATTAAACTTTATTATTAATAGCCTGCTTTTTATATTTTATTTAACTAATTAAACTGCTTAATTTCTTTACTTTCTATAATATCTTTTAATTAACTCTTAAACTTTAATTTAATATTATAACTATAAATAAACTGATTATACCTTAAAAATAAAATAGATAATTTACCTAAATATCTGCTTTTTAATAATACTGGTTTTATTAAATTATCTGCTATAGTTTTAATTTATATTAACCTCCTATTTTTAAATTGCATTAACCCCCTATTATTAATAGTATGGTTTTAATTTATATAGGATTTTAATTTGCGCTAACTTGATGCGATTTGGAATTTAGAGTTAGGTATGGCATATAAAATTCTGATATACAGAGACACGGCACGCAGAGACACGGCACGCAGAGACACGGCATATAGAGACACGGCATATAGAGACACGGCAGAGCAATTATTCCTACCGACTCTAGAACAACATATCATGATCTCATCAGCTGTAGAGGACCTCCAGTTATTAGACATTACGTGTATTCGGTCCATTGATTCAGATTGGTATATACATGCTGTATTGTGCTGTATTCTGCCCCTTAGGTTTTACCATTTCGATTGTATTCTTAAAGTTCCCGGCTTGCATGTGAGACCCCAGCACCTGCTCGACCCCAATACCTATTCGACCCCAGTACCTGCGGGGAACCGAAAAGGCCTCACCAATCCTCTCCACCTAAAATCATAAAATATCGCCTAGCTACTAGTTACCTTTTAATACCGGTATATACTACTTGTGGATGATTTACTTAACCGTAACCTTTTGACTTCGCCGCTTTCATTTTCTTCATGACTTTGCCCTCATGTCTTCAATAGCGTCTTTTTTGCCTACTATAGCATTCTCACGAAGTCAGGGGGCGAAGTCGCAGTGAACCCGGCCGGGGTAGGCAGCACCCATATTGTCCACTAAAATACTCTATAGAGCCGCGTGGCTTGCTGTCGCCTGTATATTATTTTAGCAATAGAATGCCAGATTGTGATTGACCTTAAGTAAAGCTTAGTTATAGCTGAGAACTGTAGCGAGAGCGAATTATATGCAATCCCTAAAGCCTTATCGCTTGTGCCGATAATAAGAGATATAGAGGCTGACTTAGGGTGCTACCGGATAAAGCTATTGGCTAATTTATAGGCCTTATTTCCTTTTGAGCTTGAGGCTGAAGTATGCACTTTCTCGTAAGCCCTGCCTCGCATAAGTGAGGGAAAATCGATGGGAGTAATATCGCCTTTTTAGCCCTATACGCTTGCATGAATTTATTGATTTGCATGCTTTAAGTGTTGCATCTTGGAAAGAAACATAAGTGATTGTAATCTGTATTTCCATACAGTTCAGTTAATGTTTAGCTCCTTCTGGCAGACATCTAGCCACTCTTCTTCCTTAAAAGTAATAGCACTCCAGTTACATCACCTTTTAACATCTCTTTCTCCTTCTTTATACCCGCATTACTGAAAATCTTCTTAATCCTCCTTCTAATTTAATAAATTATGCTATCCTCTATGCTAATAGCTTTAGGATAAGCTTCTCTCTATCTTATAACCAAACTGGCTATTCCTAAAACTAATTCTATTATATCTAGATTTGTTTAAGGCTAATATTTAAAGAAATTAATCTTAATATGTAATCTTATATACTATTCTTTATATATAAATAAGTCTAGGTTAAATATAAATATAGAAGGATTAAGTACTTAAGTTAAAGCTAGATTATAATATAAATTACAGACTATAAAGTTACTTAATAGTATATAGTCTTAAACTATATTATAAAGATTATTAATAACTACCTGGATTGCTTTATAATTAGACATTAATAGATTAATTTAAATATCTATAGCTATTTAAAGCACTATTATACCACCAGGCTTAAAAGCTTTTACCGCTTATACCTAGAATTATAGCATATTAAACTAATAAGTATAAGTGGCGCCAGTAATTATATCAATAGTGCTATTAACAACTAGGTTAGCAAGAATAGATTTAAGAGCCTTAGCAGATAAGACCTTAAATCTAATATTTCTAGCTGCACTTAAGCTTTTGGCGATTAAGCATGTAGTTCTGATTATTCCCTCTAAGGGGTTAAGTCTATAAGCGGTCTTAAAATAGGAGGCAAGACTGTAAGTAGCTATTTCTGGTCTGCACCTAACATTAATAAGCGTATATAGCTAACTAGAGCCGGACTTATGAAAATTAAAGATAGACTTATACAGCTTGGGGTTATAGTTGCGACGATTTTAAGTATATTATGCGCCTTATAAAGAACTGTACGCTCGGAACGTTGGATCAGATGGCTGAGGAGGAGGAGATGACCGCTCCACTGGGCTCATTTTGATAAGAGGGCAAGTGTGGAGCGTTGATCTCCAAGCTAGATATCGTGAGTTCTTTATGCGTTGTGGAGGTTTATATAACGTAGAGGATATAATTTAAGGTGTTTTTGACGGTATTGAACGACCCAACGTCTGATCCCCTCATTAAATCCAAAGAGTCGGCAAGTTAAATGCCCCGTGCTTACACAGCCTTCGACAGTTAGACATCCAATGGCACATACAAAATACAAAGTCAGCGCCCCTCTCTCAACAAATGTGGATAACTCGCTTTGCTAAAGCCTCGTTGATCTGCAGCGCGTTTCCTTAAAGGATGGATCCTAGGGACCCTCCATCTCCTAATGGGTTGCGATATGAGATAGTCTCGATTTTAAGCAAAGTATCACATGCCTGCCTGAGAGGTTGCTCCGGGTTGACCTATGTTACTAACCGATGAAAATTCGGTGCCTATTTTTTGGTGGAAATCCTGCAAATATGGGGTACCGGGGTTTTCCCTGTCAGCAACCCCTTTGCCCAGTCAATTGACCCCAGGTGCTTGCGGTACGGAACTTGTGGAGGGATGCAAAGCTAAGGGGGGCCGGTCTCCAGGCCCTACCCAAGTAGGGTGGTTCCCCAGGGTTTCTCTCAGAACAATATATCCCACTAGGTCAGGCAAAATAGTCTAATATTCCACACGTCGGTCCTTAGGCATACAAGAGAATAACTATAGTCTTTACATTTAGTTTCGCCATGGGTCGAGGATGCCGAATCTTCGAAATCCATCGGATGCGTTGCCCATGCCTGTTTTATCTTTGAAAGGTTCTGGAGGATCCTTTTCGTCTATAACGTATGAGGCAAGATCTATATTGCCGCAGTGGCTCTAGGTGCTTACGGAGTCTGAATTAAATCAAACAATATGCAAGAAGAGTTTGGGAGTCAACCAATGTTTTACATACAGAATTGAGACTAAAAGATTTATTGAATACCTCTCTTGGAATCCGAACATGTCATGAGCAGCTGTCAATGGCATATACACGGCATTCAGAGACTTGCTAACAACAAAAACATTGGTAAAGGTTGGGAGGTTATCTGTTTGGAGCGAAGTATTCACGGAAGTAAGGTCGACGGGATGGAGAAGATAGCTAAGTGATCGAAAATGCATGCTCCAAAGTTTAAAGTATATAGCACTCAGATAGAGTTATTAGAGTAGGCACTTTGTCTATTTCGCTAACGGTCCATCCGCCTGCATAATAAAATCCACTATGTCAACCGCCCCTCCCTTTCCCCCATTAAGGGGCATTCTTTCAACCTTGGCATATATACTGGGAAGGGCCTCGATCTTTATATCCCAAGTTGCAATCGGATGCTCCATGATATGGCTATATGCTGGAGTGTCGAATGGCTTACCATGTTTCGCTACTCGGTCAGCTAAGTTGCTACCAATGCCCTTATGTGTAACGACATCCGCTTCCCTACATTTGAAAGGAGAAATTCCAATTAAAAGTGGTCCTATAGGAAGAAAAGATCAAGTAGTCCTCTTGAAAGTGACCGCAAACCCCTCGGTCTTGCTCGCTTGAACATGAATGATTCTTCATCACCATTGGCATCTCCCTCGATGCGGAGAATTCTATCGCCGCATCTGTGACGCCATGCCGGCCAACTAGTCGTATTTGGTCTCTCTATCCAGCCGGTCTTGATCGGGGTTACCCAGCGTTTGAAGAGAATGTCACCATTACGGAGTTGGAACGGTCTGAAGGGTAAAAGGTGGCGTTGACGCGTCCATGCTTCGAAACGCACTTGACTAACAAACAAATCCACAAGCACAAGTTCGTCTGTGCGTGAATAGTAGTCATCACCCAAAGAGTATAACGACAGCCCGATAAGCTTGCTGCCCTTGCTCCCGACACGACAGAGCAGAACAGTAAGCTCGAGGTCATGGGGCTGAGCGATAGCTGGGTCGTCCCAGTATGCAACAGAGGGAAACTTCTTATAAATCACAAGGTTTATAAGAACACCTTTATTAACAAGAGCCGGGGGGGTTCGTCGATCATGATAGTGTGTGTACCCATGGTCCACCGGCCATATCTCAGCGGAATCCTTAAAATCTGCTGGAGACTCAGCGAAAAGCCCCAGAAGGGGTTGCCGATGATGGGCTTCTTTCCATGGGATGGGCTTCGTACCCAGTTGTTGTTTTTGATCAATAAGTTCAGCAGGGCAGCCAACAATCTTATCCCATGCAAACAAGGATTGGTCGTGGGTGGCGTTCATAATAGCTTCCTGGAGCCTTTGAAAAGCTTTTCGACCTTCCCCACATATAAGAGGAATATTAACGTCGAACATGCCCAATAAGCAGTAGGCAGCATCTTCTACGCGGGAAGTCTTCCGATCAGAGGCCCAAGACATCCTCCTTGCCACGCTAACACTATCCATATCTCCACCCTTGAGAATGTGCTCATCTATTCTAGTGATAGATGAGAGTAGGCCACAAAGATCGTCTTTGGACCCAATCCTTTTCCAGTCAGTCGAGTAAAACTCGACTTTAGAAAGAGCGATTAACTCTTGTAACGTCCATCCTCGGGTAAACCAGCGAGAGGGGTATAATTGTTCGCTAATGGTTTCTTTGTCTGTACACCAGTGCACGTCTTGCAAGTAAACATAGCAAACTTGAGCGTTCCTGTACCACCGGAACATTGAGTTGATAGCCTCACTTAGTCCAGCGCTACTCTTCTTGTCGATACAGCACCTTTTATGACTGTTTAGTTAATGACTTGGGTCAAGGAGTGTAGATGAGCATACGTATCGACCCACACCCAGTGGAACCCATTGCTGGCAGCTTTTTGGCCGAAACGCTTGATTTTGTGGTAACCTTTCATGCTGTTGATATCCGAAGCTATGATATGCGAGGTCGCCATACTTTCCCATTGCTGCACATTGACCTCATTTTCGTCCCAAGTGTGGGATAGGATGGCATAGGGCGGTACTTCGTCATCGGATACAAATTCCTTCAGCGTCCAGTTGTGAGCATTTTTTTAGAGTTATATATAAACTTAAGTTACTATTATATAATATAGATATCTTAATACCTTTTGGCTTATAGCTTATATTAGCATTTTTATAATATACCTTTATATACTAACCTATATAAAAAGGTATATTCCTGCTTGCCGATTTTCATAGGTAGCACTCAGGAAATGTTTACAAGGCTCAAGGCCAACCTAAAGCGCTGGGGAGTTTCCGATCCAGGCCTGTGCAGGACTCTTGCAATTAAGGTCCATAAGTATCAATTTCAGCATCTTCAGGAGTTCATGGAGGCCAGCGACGGGGACTCCCAAAATCAAGGTGGCGGCAATCAGGAAGGGTCACAGCTTCGCATGGACAACTTGCTGGCGTTTGCCAACTGCTCGCAAGTCACCCCTTCAGACTTTATCGGATAGGCGATGTAACATGGGTGTCATTCTTCTACTGGAATGTCTTTGGAATAGGACTTTCAATCGATATGGGCTTGGGAAGGCAGTGTTCGAGCAAAGCCATTATTTTTGTTTCCTTTCATCACTGTTTGGGCTCTTGAGAAGAAAGAGCCTCTGGAATTTGTAGAGCTGAAGAACATGGGCCCAGATGGGGTTCGTCGATACTGTAAAGCTTGAGAAAGGTTTATTCGTAACCTCATAGTTATGATCTGGCCCCAAGGTGTATTTAGAACGGTGGCGGGTTCTGAGGTGTATCAATCGATGAATAAACGTTTAACCTTACAGTCAAGCTAGCAACAGCACGTCTTGATGTCTGTCACACTTGTAACTGCTAGTGCCTGGGGATCTTTTCATGAACAAGGATTTTGCAAACCATTTTCTGATTTAAATCTGCCGTTGACCTGTCGTATGCTATCCCTTCTTGCCTAGGCCTAGAGACCTTCAAGTAACGCATCGAATACGGATAATACCCCTCCACTTTCGGCCACTATCTTACAGGACTTAAGAGACACAAGCCAGCACTATTGAGATATATCTTTACACTAAGGTCTGCGCTAGAATCGAGAAAGCGGTCTAGTGTACTAAGGAATTTATCCGGCTGGTAGATATAGCCTGGCACACAGAATACAGCCATAAGTACAGAGCAACAAGGGTATCAGCGCCATGTAAGGGGAACAGTTTATAAAATTTACAATCTACTAAATCGCTAAGTACTTCTTCCCTAAGTCTAGTAAAGCTTTAAGGTAAAATGAAAAACTATAGATATATCTAGATAGTTAAGAATGTATTACTTAAGTCTTATGATATATTATTAATATCCTTGCTGTATTATAGAAGTAGATAAATGGTAATAATTAAGGGGATTCTAGCAGTCACCGCCATACTTATTAGTGCTAAAAATAACTTCAGCAGGTAGACAGGACATTAACAAGCGTCTTAGTAATATTTAATATTTTATATTAATAAAATATAAACTATTTATTATAACTTTATATCCTTTAATATAGAAAATTAATTAAAAATAAAACTATTTAATGCTTAGAATTTATTATAGCTATAAAATTTATAAAACCTATTAAGTAGTCTCCTAAAGATACACTTTATAAAGCCAGTCTGTTTGCATCTTCACTTAATCACTAATTAACAATAGGAAACCCAAGCAAACGCATTCCATTCTCAACCACTTGCTGAACGCAACGATATAGTTCAAGGCGTGCTCGAAGAACGCCTGGGTCATCCTCTTCTGGTGAGCTACTCAGTTCATTGTCGCCGGCATCCGCTCCTTCTTCGTTGTTTTGTGTGTCCTCATTATCGGCGTCGAGGTCAAGGGAGTAAGCAAGCTGGGACAGGTAGACCAGGATGGTATGGGGTTCCAACGATTTGAATGCGGCTGTTGTCACTTCTGGGTACCTGGCGAGGATGCCGAAGAGCTCGGCCATTGCATCGTCTTCAAACACCGAAGAGTTAATAGCAGCTGCTTCGACGGTCTCGGTCTGGAGCTCCGAGATAGCCGATATAATCTTCGCATGGAATTGTTGTAGGTTGAACGCCGCCCCTTCCTCTTGGGCCATGTGGTCGACTTGAAGTGCGTAGTTGTGAGACCGCTTCTTGACAGCAATCTCCCGCGAGACAAGGGCACCGATGGCCATAGCATCTGCATGAACTACAGTTCCTTTCTTGTTGGGCTCGTGAGTGGGGTTGGAAATAGGTGGCATTCCCAACGAGCAGTTGCATTCATCTAAAATGTTATCAAGCAACAAGGACCCTTTCATATGTTCCGGAAGGCCCTGAAGCTCCCCGAAGCTGGCATGCTGTATCTTGTCAGCGATGTCAGCACGGTCCATCATCTTCAGTGTAATGGAAAGCTGTTGGAAATGAGACGATTGGCGTGAAGAGACAACATAGATCATCTTGTCGAAATGGTACGTGTTGTATCGGTCGATAGCAGCACCAATGTCGCGCAGTAGGTAGGTTGTCGTTCCGTCGTGGTTGCGGAGAACCTGAGCTCCCAGACCTTTACCAGCTTTCCCGAAGTGCTTGGTAAAGTCTATAACCCACGAACCTTCATCGTTTTGGTCAAGCACGCCTTTAGCCCTCAGTGCGGCCTCCACCTCATTCATCGTCTCCGGGTTGACCTGAGATTCACCCGAGAAATCGTCAAACTCAACGCCCATACGAAGGTAGGAGGCACGAAGATGACTGACACCGAGTTCCCTAAACTGCGACCACAGGTGCAGGGCAGCTTCGGACCGCGACTCCAAGTCCCGGAAGAAAGTGTCCCTTTCGGCGAAGAGCCCTTTTCCTTCAATGTCTGCTGTGCTGCTACCTTGATCCTTGGCCCGCCTGCTCTCTTCCTGCTCGGGTTTGAACAATGCTTTGATCTGGAGGTAGACTTCAAGCATATGCTCAAGCGGCTTGGCCTTCAGGATGTCCTCGGATCCAAAGCGGCCAAAGCCAATGGCCAACAGTGCGATCTCTTTTCCCCAATCTCCAAGGTAGTTGAGCTTCACCACGTCCCAGCCCATAAGCTCGTAGATGTTTGAGATGAACAAGCCAATCAGAGTGCTCCGAAGGTGATTACCGTTGAACTCGCTTCCAACATTGGGAGAGGAAAATTCGACAATTACCTTTTTGCGACCAGGGCTGGGGACGGAAGCGCCATGGTCGAAGCTCTCAGCCCTGCATCGACCATATGCTGACTTGCGGTCTTGGATGTATGGAAGAAGGAGATTTGGGAGCGCTGTTGGGGAGAAGTAGAATGTGATGCGTGGTCCATCGGCAAAGGGCGCCGTGAAGAATGGGGATGGAGGTAACTGGGTCCCCTTGTTAATGAATGTGATTGGCATTGAGGCATATCCTAAGTACACACCTTTCGGCTCACATCAACTGAGCTCAGTGGCGACCCAGGGTCCCTTAGCTTGAGCTTCGGCACGATGAGCTCGAGGTCTCCCATGGATGAGTCAGCGATGGCATCGTACGCCGAAGATGCATCGCAGTTGATAGCCGAGGCAATCAGGCCGGCCAGATGGGACCTGAACACATCCAGCGGCTTGGCGAGTATGTCCGCAGATGGAATTTCGGGCACATCTGACTTCAGCCCAAGCATGGCAAGCTGGGAGCCGAACTCGGCAGTCGTCATGGTGAGGCTGGACATTATTGATGGCGAAGCGTAGTCTAGTACTATTGAGTCTTGACCGGTAACGTTAGCTCGGCGCGCTAACGAATCGGTCTGGCCGCTGTGACGGACAAGTCAGCAGAAGGGAATTGTTGGGCTTCGGGCACTAGTGGGTTTGGGTTGGCAGTTCGGCGTGCGAACAATTCGTTGCTAGTCTGATGCGCGAATCTGTTGGCGTAAGCAAATGCCAGGCGCTGCCGCATCGCACGCGTTGACCGGTAAGGCAATCATGGCGTAGGCAGAACGTGGGATCCAGCGAAGATATATGGATAGTATAAGGTAGTTGGGTACCAACAGGTAGTCATGTGAGTAGACTGCTGCATTGCCTGCGTGCGTCCTCGTAGAAACAAATCAGCCAATCGACGGTCGACAGCAAGCCTCGCATACCCGCCGTTGGTGTAGGGTTGGTTGACTCCACATCCAAAAAGTGCGGGTGTCAGCTCTGAAGATTGCCTAGCTCCACATCCTCTTCGAAGCCCGAGTTGGCGCCCGATGCCCAAGCTACTTCACGTAGAAATCGGCGGCGTGGTTGGGCGAGTTGCCAAATTGATGCCATCATAGCCTGGTTCCAACCCCATCCTCTTCTCAGATGTTGATTTATGAATCTACCATCGTTTTGGTCATCTGCGCGGGTATTAAGGCGCTTCTTGATGGTGGCAGTCCAGCCAGGTATCGGATTCTGGCCTGGTTCAATGCACCAGCATAGGCCGAAAAGCACAGCGGTAATCATGACGAACCGCAAGAAGACAGGCCCGAATGTCAAAATATCTGCTTGGATGATGGAGGCCGAGACGGCGACTGGAGTCATGACCTGCATCTAGATTGGGCCAAGTTAGAGATGCAACATGGTGGGCAATGGACATACGATTCTCGACTTACGAATGTGAGCTTTAGGTACTGTAGGACGTTCCCAGGGCCGCCTTGGACCCCATTAGCAAGCTCCAGCTATAGGATGTTAGCAAGTTGACAACGCGCCGGATTCTTCAGAGAAAGGCGAAATAATTAAAATAAAATAAAAAATAGTTGTTGATAAGGGCACAGGCGATCGACAAGGAGACCTTATTGATAACCGATAAGTACTTACATCTTTGCGAAATCCATCGCATTTTGTCTTTGCCTTGGATAGGCTGTCCAGAAGACGATTCATCTCTATGGTTTGGCCCTGAATCTCATGAAACAACGTCGCCGAAGGACGATTGTACGCGAAGTTTTCCCTCTCAATCTCAAAAGCTTTCCAGCATCTCAGAATACTAGAGAGGCCGTCCGAGAGAAGATCAAGGAGCTGCTCCGTTTGTCTGAGCCACATTCGCTTGCTCTCAGCCGACTCGTAAAGTTTTTGGGCGGAATCCCTCGAAACTGTGGCGCAATTGGGCGTCGTGCGATTTTCATGGAACTATAAAGTTGTTATTAAAGTTCCGAGCCAGAGGTACTTGCACAGCTCACGTAGTCCGACATTTTGTCTTGAACAAAGTCGATGATTTTAAAGAACTCCTCATAGATTTGGGTGAATCGTTTATCCAGGATCATGAGAAAGTATTCCCGCGGATCTGGACATTTCGTCCAGACTTCTTTCTCTCCGATCAGTGCAGGGTCCCATTCGCTGACCTCGGAGTCTTCATGTGTTCTATAGAATTCGACTGTGTCTTCGTGGTCCTCGTCCTTGTCATAAAAGTAGGTGTCGACAAGGGAATATGTGGTCCACACGGATCTATTATAGCCGCATATCATCAGGGAGTAGTGAACCTCGTGGAGTGTGTCGACGCTGGCGGATTCGGACTCGATCTCGATGGGTTTTGAAAGGAATGAGAGGGGGCGGGATTCCCTCCACGGTCTTCCATTGCGCTTCTTGCGGGGGTCGTCCCTCCTTCTGGTCCTAGCTTTTTGTCTCTTCAAGACAAATGACGGCAGGTGGAAGGTGAAAGAAAAAGTTCGGCCTCCAGTCTTTTCTTAAAAGTTAGCAAATATGGGCGAGAACAGGAGCGGGTCATTGAGATAATTGGGAAATGCAATACTGACGCCAACGTTGAATCCAATTGAAGCGGGCGTGCTATGAGCCTTGATGTACCTGAAAAGGAAACCCCCCAGCTCGTCTCGTCCCAGGCCTCCAGTGCTGAGGATGAGAAGACCCATGGATTCTGTCGTCGGGTGGTGAATGTGGCTAGGAAGACTGAGGTTAGCGACGCGCACGGGTTCTGGGGGGGCCGCAGCGCTAGAAGCGCACGCACGTCGAGGTACTGTGAACTTACTACCGTCGTATGGACGCGTCAGGTTCCCCCGGTTGACCAAATCGCTGATCTCGTTAGTCATCAGGCTTGGAGAAAAAGAAAAGATAGAGGAGGTAGATCGCGTTGGAACCTCCTACCTTTAATTGTAACTTCTGGTGGGCTACCGCAGCAGGCATGACGCCGTTGTAGGCGCGACACCGGTGCCCGTCGCCGTCGTGCAACCATAGTTCAGATTGGGAGCTCTCAAAGTCGCCATCCAGTATTTTCTCGAGTGCAGTATCTAGGTCGATAGACTTGAAGCAACCGAGCATATAGCTATTCCTAGGAGAATAACCTGGGATGGCTAAGAAGAGCTGCAAAGGAGTGTCGTCTCCGTTTCCCCGGCGTGCCTGCTCTATCCAAGGAACATTTTCATTCTTCAGACATGGTTCTCGACGATCAAAGTCGAAAGACATGTTCACATGGATGGGTAATTACACGCTCGAGTACTTAGTGAGGGCAGCTACTGACAACAGTTTGAAGGATTAGCGGCGGTCGATGCCTCTGGCTGTCGCTAGTGAGATTTTCAACTTCATTCAGTCGGAATCGGTCATATATGATAGATAATTCGACATCACTTCGACTATCCAAGCTAGTCATGCACCAATCGGCTCTCCGATTCAGTCCATTCTGTCACGTGTACTTCCCTCCCATCAGGCATCATCACATACCCAAACAGCAAATTATACTGAGGGCCTCAAAAACTTGACTCACAGCCAAGGCAAGAAATATAAGTGAGGGATTCGGTCACACTTCCTCACTAGCTTCTGCCTTGGCTGCCTTCTTGTTGACGTGGACGACTGTCGAGCGTTGTTCGATCGGTCGGCGAAAATGAACGAGTTATTATAGACGATGTCAAATAGACGTTCGCCTCACTCTGAAGAAGGCTGCTGCGGCCAGCGTTGAACGCGTGGGATATCACTGAAACATATTTGCCTCGGTGTCAATGGACTTAGTGTCGATACAACAATCGTCCTCGACCGCGCTTGAGAGGGAGTTTGGCGCAATTAGCCCTAGGTATGGTTTCGACTTGACTTTGACCACAGGGCAATAGACACAACGGGGCGTGCCACAGAAGCTGCAAGGGTCCGTTCTCATTGACATTCCCGATTGTCCGCAAGCACACTGACTAACAGTCAACAAGATGTCACCTAACTTGGTCGTCGCATTTGCTACAACAACGTCACTTACGCAGGTCCAGAGCGCGACCTGCTTGCGGCGCGGCGCAACCACTCGCGGGAGTCCCAGCTCTGTGTCAGCGAAACTCCCTCCCAGCAACCATTTTGCGGACCAAAGGGTGGTTCGCCGAGGCTCACCCTCCAAGCCCAAGCCGGCGGACTCCGGATCCACCCCGGGAGTCAGCACTTCGGCTGCTCCGTTCGCTGCCACCTGGCACGGCGGACACCGAAGAAGATGAGCGAGGTGGCAGCGAACGGAGCAGACGAGACTCCTGTTCGAGTCGCTGGGACCGGGCTCGGTGTCCGATGTAATTGTCGCCTTTGGTGTCATTCGAACTTAAAGTAAGAGATAGATATGAAGAGTGAAGCCTAACACGGACAAAACGGCATATGAATTAGAACTGGTTCGTGGTGGCTTTACAAGGGCTTTTGCCCTGATCGGCTGCTTGGATAAGTACAGCCTTTAAGGGTCTCAAATGTTAGCGCGTTACCTGTGGCAAAGTTGCAATACTTACATCTCCTATAGGATATAACCAATAAATGAGTACCTAATAACAGTTCTATATAGATATTCTTCTATTTTACCTGCTCTCTAATATCCAATTGCAACATATAGAAAAATCAAGCTACCAATAAGAGTAAGTAATTCCTTTTAAGTATACCGTTTTCATTTGAGACCCTTGAGGGCTGTAGTAAATTCGCTGCAGGACACGTATTACTGCTCGCTCTCCGGAAGCCGAAAGCGGGAGCCGAGAGCGGGAGCCGAGGCCTGCTGTACGTGCTTGGGCACTGCGTAGAGACTGGGGGTACAAAGCCACGAAGCAGAGGGTCAGATAACCGGGAAATATGGGAACAGCTGGTCAGCGTCATTGGCGTTGGCGAAGTGGGGTGAGTTGTATTACCACTGATTCGATGAGCTTCGCTGTTTGCCGGACCCCGCTAACCGGGCATAATCGTTAAATCAATCAATCAATCAACCCGGGAGTCCCAAGATCCTTTTCGTCTCGTCGTTCCTTAAGGCAAATCCTCTCCTTTCCACGGCCAGTTGCGAGCCGCCAGTTTTTTAGGCTGGGTTAAATTCACTTGTCTCTTTATATATAGAGTCATTATGTAGTATGTTCTTATCTATTAAAATGGAACCGATTAAGCCGCTTCCTACTGATTTAAGCGATAGGGGACTAATACACTAAACTATACTATATAAGAGAGGTAAGGCATATAGACTAAGTAATTTTTAAAATAGTATACAGGCTAAAAAAAATAGTATCAAGTGCCATTAGTAATAGTTATTCTAATTAATGTATATAGATAAAAAGGATGTAGTTTTATAAAGGTAATACAGACTAACGCATAGACGAAAACTGTATAATTTAGTAAAGTATAAGCAGTCCCTAGTACAGGAGGGTTACGCTAGACAATAGTAATATCTACAACCTCTAGCTTATCGATCCCCTCATACAATCGATGGGGGCGATAGATTTCCATTAGTCCCAACCTCTCATATGAACCCTCTGTCGTTCTGGACTTTTGGAGAACTAACCCCCCTCGGCATCGATTTCCCATCTGATAAACAATCAAACATAAGAGTGGGAAATCGCCTGCGGCAGAGACCGGAACGTCTCTGGTGGGCCAAACAAGCTTATTAACATATTTTGCCCCCGTCTTCTCATCTTCCTCCCCGAATAGTTGAGCGTCCGGCCAGAAGACCACAGTCTCGTGGCTGAAGGGACAATTCCCACAGGTTGCAATAACTGGGCCATGGTCTCCCAAAAAGACTTTATAGTGTGGAATCGCGAGGTCGTGTCGTGTTCCATCTAGAGGCAATGTAACAACATTGGAACAGACAGGGTGAGACGACTCCGGGTTGGCTCGAAGTTCGAGTCTGTTCGGTATGCGTATCGTGACATCTATTACACGCCCTCGAAGCTTAAGAGGGCACTCCTGACTAATGACGTACTCCGACACTGGTTTCGGCAACCGATATTGCAGGCTCACAACGTCAACCTCGTACATAAGGCGATGCCGGGTTTGAGATAGAGCAGGGATATAGACGATGTCTGACTGACACGGCTTGGAAGATATGCCGTACGATATCGGCCCCTCACACGAGGCCCAGCTCCAGGATGGAGCCTCGCATTGTCCGTGCTGTATGGCCATGGGGAGGAAGATTTGCCATTTGAATTCCTTGTTGAAACCTGCCTGCCCCAACATCGCCATAGAAGGCCATCCAGTACCTGGTTCTCCCAAATCCCTGCCACACATCGACCACCTGTTTTGGCATGGATTTGAGACGCAATCGCAGACAACGCTGGAAGCCGATCACTCTCGTAGCTGAGGGATAGACGCGTGTAATCCCTAATTATCGTGCTGTACCAGTAGTCCACCAGCTCTTCCTCTGTCCTGGTTCCTTTTGAAAGCATCCGCTTATGGGCAACACGATCAGGAAATTTCCCGTACGCTTCATTTCGACCGCACTCACACCAATGTGCTAAGCGACATTCAAACATTACTTCAGCATGGTGGAAGGTCAAGACTCGTCGAGGGACTAGACGCTCTTGATAACACCATGCGCGCGTTGCAAGTGGCTCTCGCCGATTGTGAACAACATGGTTGACCTCCTTTCTCCAATAAATACCTCTTACCACCTCATGCGGGCGGAATTCCTTCTCACGTTCCTTAATGAAGCCATCAGAATCACTTTGCCCGACTGCAGCAGCAATTGTAACATAAGCATCGTGGTAGATGCGTGCCATACATTTCGATTCTCGCTCCCAGTCTTCGACGTCACCTTGAATAATACACAGGGAATCGATCCAGAGGTATCGGATCCCCAGGGCCCGGGTTATGATGACAGAATCCTGGAACGTCTTGGGCAATTCACTCCACTCGATGCTGTTCAGTCGCTGGGCGATGTTGTCTTTCTTGGTCTGACAACTGTGCTGTTCTTCTAAGTTACCCCAACAGTGACTTAACGCAATATAAGAGCCTGGAGCCTCTTCCGTTTCGCATAGTCTAATTGCGCTTTTTGGGTCGGTTCCAGGACCACCGACATCAAGAATACGACGAGGAAGTAGAGGGGGATGCTCTGGCAAACAGGTGGCCGTGCGATGGTCATTGTTGCAAGTATGGACCCAGGATCTTATAAGGTTGATACAGGCTTCGTCTGTTGCAAAACCTGAGATATGTTGGAGTTGTCGGATTCCAAATTTGCCACCCGCACCTTGAGCGGAATAGAGCTCTATCCCATCGCATCGAACTGGCATATTGCCACCTGCGGAAACCATGAAGCTAACGTCATTGGTCTCTGACGGGGCATCCGGGCCATGTCTGACTGTACACGCCTTGTGAATGACGTTCGCAGTGGGGCATCCTGAGCCAGCGACGCCAATTATATAATCCATAGTTAAGTTAAAGGTTTCATACTTGCTGTTGTGGAATTGCGAGCAGATGGTACATATATTTGTGTCATGGGGCGCATAGTTGGCCATGATTCTGGAGTATCAATTGTACTCAATCTCATTCGCAATCGAATGGTGAAACTTTATTTAGAACCCCAGTGGCCTAGAAGTTCTGGTACAGACAGGAGTGGTACTATTGTGGCATTTCAGTTCTCTAAGGGAGATCAGTGATATTACCAGTCGGCCTAAATAGACTGCAGAGACCGCTGCGTTGATACCCAACGCTATACCATCTCTATCCTACTGTACTAATTACCCACTGTATTAGGTTTTCATACATGTCTTAGCTATCTTCGCCAAGCCGGCCGGTCTGCCTAACAGCGGCTTAACTCTGGCATGTTTGCGGGGTAAAGCGTGTCACCTCACAATTGAGGAAACATACTTAAGCCAATGGTTGCCAATTCGGTTCCCCTCACTTCCATGCTCTTACACCACTAAGTGACTTGTTGAGCCGCTTTTGAGTTGCTCGCCTGCACTTGCCAGCCTGTCACAAGTGTCACCGAACGCCTGATGACCTTATGCTTCCATCGCTACGTGGTCAGTAGCTGCCTGCCATCGAACCATTTATGGTTAGTCTGTGCTGAGGGGCTTTTATAGCTGCAGCCGGTCAAGCAAGCCGTTTTGGGGGTTTTAGTAAGGTTTTCATTAAAACCGAAAACTGTTATACCTATGGATCTAACCTAACGGAAGATCGTTTTTTCTTAGAGAGAATTTCTTTTTACTTTAAGGTTTAATTCTAAGAAAATGGTTATATAATAAGACTGATACTATTAAATACCCCTTTTTTTAAACTTTATAATATATATAGCTTACTAATTTTAAGTGGTTAATTTTTATAGAAATCTAAAGTTAAAGTAAATGATATTCCTTTTTAATGTATTAACCCTATAAAATCGCCATCCCAGCTTTTTAACCCTATCCTATATTTTTACCGCCCACTTAAAGAGTGGCCTACTTTTATCTACCTTCATCCCGCTATAAAAAATTAAAGTAGGAGAAAATGGTAAAAAACTATTAAATTAGTATATATATATACTGTATTACCTTATATCTAATAGTATGTCAGAATTACTACTACAACTGGATATAGTAGGCATTTAATAGTTAGTTATTTATTAAAGTCCTTGCCAAATTTGCCAAAGCTTCTCCCAGACACTTTAAATCCTTTAGCTTCTGCTTCTTGTCGTCTCTCTCCTTCGCCTCGGTCATGATGCACCAGATCATGACTCTGTCTGTCCACCCCAATTCTACTTCTAGTGGTGCAGAGAAGACAGTATTTGAATCTAGGAAGACATGGAGCTTATCGAACGCGAAGATAGTTTCGTACAGCCAATCGTGGGTAGCCTCGATATGTCCTTTGAGGCAGTCGGCGGGAAGCATGCTTTTCCCTACTAGAACGAGTTTTATAACCGCCTTTAATGCTTCTGCAACCTGATTTAGACCATGGTATTATGTCATAAAGTCGATGAGGGCGCAGCACTGGCTCCGTTTTGATATTTCCTGACCCTGGTGTAGATTCCACCACTTATTGAGGTGTGTGAGTCCCTTCTTGTAGTCCGGCTCGGCCGTCTCCTTCACGGCCGACATGTATGAGAGCATGTGCAGCTCGGCCAGTCGCTGCCAGCCCGTGTTTGTCGTCGAGCTAAGTGCTTCCCTGGCAACCTCCTTTCGCAACGTGGCTGCTGTCCTGGTGGGATTTCCAGCGTACATGTGCATTGCTGACTCAAGGTCGCTGAGGGACATGATTATCGGCACGGTGTCAGGCGCAGCCTGAACCCCCGATCGCTTCATTGCCTTGACGGTGGACGCCAGGCATTCTCCTATCCGCTCCACTACTATTCGCCCCCTTGCCTCTCCTGAGATAGATGCAGCTGCCCCCGCTTCACTCAGATCGTCAAGAACATTATCGGGATCTCTTACTTCCTTGTCAAAAACATCCGCATATACGACATACAGCGGCTCCTCTAACAGCCGCCTAGCAAACCACCCAAACTTCTTTACCGTCTCCGGTTCTCTTTGAAGCCCAAACGACGCAACGTCATCCCTCACCCTCTTCTTCCCAAACTCCTCGGAATGCTCCTTCATCACCTTCGCCAACGCCTTCGGCAACCCCCCGGGTTTTCCACTATCCTCAATCATGTCAAGAAAGCTCCGCATCAGACCCCGCATTGCCTTGTCGTCCACGTCCCCCATACATCTCGCAATGATGTATACGCACATGTGCCATTCAATCAATGACTGGAGCTGCTTCCGGCGAATTAGGTTCAGCATTTTGAAATCGGTTGTGGCCGGGCTCGTTGCGAGATGGGCTTCGTAGAGCGCCTTGGCTCTCAGGAAGTCGCCTGTATCGAAGGCCGTGGAAGCGGCTGCGTGCAGAAGTTGTTGGTAGGAGGCTTCGACAGTGGGATCGAGGAATATTGGCTCGGCAGTGGTGACGACCGCCTCCACTCCACGGTGGTACACGTCGAGCGCCTTGTCTACGATGGCGGCACGCTTGGCGTGCGGTGATTTTAGGAAATCGGTCTCGAGTGTCCAGAGGTCCCAGGAGTAGTTGAGGATGGCGGAAAGGTCCCGCCCTGTGGGAACCTGGTTGGTTCGGAAGTGATCGACGATATTGAGACGCTGGAGCAGGTGTGTGGCGAGATGGGGGATCACAAGCGGCCGTGGCGGGGGTTGGATATGACGGCGGGGTGGACGAGATTGTAGACAAAGATGGAGAGAGGAACGCCGGTGCGCAGCTCTTCTTCCAATGGCTTGCCATCTCTGACGTACCACGCTAGGGCTATATGGCGCCAGTTGTAGAGGTGATCCTCGTGTTGGGCGCCAGTACCATCCCAGGAAACTTGGGCCCAGCCGCATGCGCTAACGCCGACGGCGAGGTCGTGCGACTCCCACAGAATAGACGCGCGGAGGTAGGCGAAGCGGGCCCGCTTCCATCCTTCCTCGCTTAGCAGTGCGCGGCTAAGGAGCGCACAAACAGGGTGGACTTGTAGCATAGCATACTGCTGTCATTCTTCTTTATGACGGTGGCATGGTCGAGGATACCAGTGCTAATCAGCTTACGCTCCCATTTGTGCCTTTCGGTGCGGATCTTCTGCCCTAATGGTGCCATATTGACTAGGAGGCGAAAGTCTTCGGAGAGCCAGGTCTTCACGCCGTATTCTGGAATACCGTCGTAGCTACTGAGATTCAAGATCCAATAAAACATTGCGAGGTTTCTGGGCATCAGATTCCAAACGAGGCGAGGTGATACACCGCCATTCCCGTGTCATCTTCATTGAGAAATGGATCCAGATTGCAGGCAAAAAACGACCTCTCGAATCTGCTATTATAAAGTGACAGATAGGGTCTGCTCAGTGTCGTGCAAACTCCATAAAGGAGGATGTCGAGGAGCACTTCGCCGTTATAGTTGGCTTTTTTCAGCTCAGGCACGATCAGACGAAGGGCAAGGGGATTACCCTCCAGAAGAATGGCTGCACGCCGGATTAGGTCAATATTTTCACGATGGTGGAATATATCCGGTATCTCCTGGCCGGACTCGAATGCGAGGTTCTGCAGCAGGGTGAATGAATCCAGCACAGAGAAACCATGGAGGCAGTACTTGAGGGGGTTTGACGACCCACGGGCAATCTTCGATTTGCACAACCGCGAGGCAACAATAACCATCGACCCTTGTTCGGTGACCTTGTCAATGAAGGCAGCCAGTTGTGTTGCCAAGCCCTCCGGATCGTGGGCGCACATTTCGTCCAGGGGGTTGTGGGTTTCAAAGGCCTCGGCACTGTCGAAGACAATCAGATACTTTTCCGTGCGCAGATTGTCGATAATCCCGTTAACAGAAAATTCCTTTAGTTGAAACTGCAGCTGCTGGGCTATTGAACTTACCACAGACTCCATCGAGTTGTATAAGCAGAGTTCTTGTTGGTCAAGGTCGATGTACGCCGCCGCCTTGATCCAACCAGAGGACTTCCACCAGCTACACGCATAACGAGGCAATTCTGTTTTCCCGACACCGCCTTGCCCGTACAGGAGTACCAGAGGTGAAACGGACAGATGAGTCTCGAGAGAAAGGATGTTGTAGTCTCTCCCAAGCAGCCCCTGTAACGAATCTGTTTCCTGCCTGGATGAAGAGGCAGTGATTGTATTTTCTGTCTCGGGCGCCTCATAACTAAGTTTTGAGACATAGAGCACCGGAACGACAAAGTCAGCAAGTTGGACTCGTTTCATATACCAAGCTCTCCGGGATCGGTTGCGGAGCAGTGCAGAACGAGCCGTCCGCGTTGCGTGCTCAATCGAGGCACCTTCAATAAGAAGCGAGTGGTAAAAGGCGCTCATAAAGATTTTAACAGCCTCCTCGGTCACCTTATAGCCCATTGCAAGGACTGAGTGCATCTCGTAGCCCAAGAGGACCTCGGCCAGATTGCTTTCTGGCGCCGAATCCCGAAAGCTGGCCGAGTCGCAAGCATTGAGAATCACAGTCCGTACACCTGCGTTAGCTAGCTCCTTTCCGACTTCACCTGCCAGCTTTGGGTCTTTTTTCATCTTTAGTGGGTTTTTCCAGTTCGGTTCATAAAACTCAAGAACCGCCGGTGTTATTCTCGGTCTGGATCAACCCCTTCATGTCGAAATGAACCAGGTCATTAATGGTTGCGGATATCGTGCATATGCTTCCGGAACCTATGTCAAGTCGGTGGACGAAGAATCTTGAGCGATATCTTGACTTCCGGCTTTATGTTTGAAATCTGGTCGACAATGGCCACCAAGCTTCTTGCGACCAGCTGATAGTCGATATAGTCGATATTCGTCTTGTACGGTCTATAGATGACCAACAGAATGTCGAATGCCTTGCTACAGCTTGGTATAGCCATAGTGCTGTCTCTGTGGGTACTAGTGAAGGCCCATAGGAACACCCGTTATGGTCGGTCCGCAATCGTTTCTGCAAAGGACTGTAGCTACTCATCCCAAAATCGGTATATCACCCACCTTTCATAAGAGTCAAGTTAGCAGCAGGTATTAAGCCCGGTTATCTTTAACATGCACTTTCTATTATTGCTGAAGTTCTAAATAAAAATAATCTATAACTAGATATATATACTTTAATATATAGAGATATTAAGAATTCCTTTTGCTAGTATAGAGACTAAACTAATTTTTATTATACTTATCTATTTTATTAATAATAATATAAAACCTAATATTTAAATATCTTTAGTTAATAAGCTTTTAAAAAGTATAAAAAAGTTTTAAATATAACTATTAACTAATTCTATCTTATTATACCCTAACTTTTAATAATAGGCTTCTTACTTTAGCCTATTAATCTAAATAAAGGATAGATATATTATGACGGTTATGATGAGCATTCTAGGGTAAGAGGTCTAGCCTTGTTGGTAGGGTCAGAAGGCTATCTGTAGTAATAGATATAAAGGGACAGATTCCCCTTAATATCTTAGTTTTATTATGCTTTTTTAGACTGAATTTTACACTTTTTATCCTTATATTTAATATTATTAAACTAATTACTTAATTACCTATCTAATAATAAAGGCCCTGTCTTAATTAAACTTCTATAGCTATCTGCACTTAGCTTGCAATTAAGGCTGTTAGAAGTTATTATTCTCTTGCAGTCTTTTCCTTATTGTTACTCTTTACCTTTAAAATATATTTTAAATATTATTTAAGAACTTTAGAAAGGAGAGTCTAAAGGAGGTCTCTTTTAGGTATCTAACTAACGTGCCTGCAATCTAGAGGTAATAGCTAGCAATTATCCCTAGTATAGCCAATTTAATTGCAGATTTTAAGTCTTTAAATCTATATATAAATTCTATTAGTAAAAACATTCCTAAAACGGCTTTTTTTAAAATTTAGTAAATACTATTTTATTTTATAGCCAATATAATAACTTACACTTAAATTTCTACTTTATTATAAAGAATATACCTCTAAAATACCTTTATACCGCTATAATTAAAACTTAAAGTCTAAGCTAAAAGGAATATTATATCTAATAATTAGATCCTATTTAATTTTAAGTATATCCCCTAACTGGTTACTATAACTTTAAACCTGGCCTTATAATATAAAAAGGTTAAGACTTTACGTCTTTCTATCTGGTAGGTAGTCTGCAATTAAGAATATATTACAGTTTAGCTTACTTCCTAAATTGTCGTTTCCTTCCTAAGGGATATCTAGCTTTAATTGATATATCCCTTACGAAATTATATCTATCTTTTACACTTAGTCAAGAAGTAACTGCTGATTCTCCTGCTAACTAAATATAAGTGAAATAAGCAGTTCTAAATGAGGCTTTAATCATTTTTAGATATAGTGGAGATCTTATGCATTCATGTCTTTTGGCATTCATATCAGCTTTGCTCCTGGTATTGAGGCTATGGCATTGGTAGCATTAGGATCTTGTGTTTGGTCTGCGGGTGAAATAAAGGTTGTGCAGAAGCGCTTGGAGGGCATAGTCAATATCAGGTTTGTATTAATAGATGTTTCATATTCGCGCTCTGCAACCATTAAGGGAGTCAGTTTAATATCAACGCCATAAGACCCATGGTATGGATACTGACTGCAATTTATTGAGGAGCTTAATTGCGAGCCTTGGATCATGGTAAAAACCATCGGCGCATCAATGCACTGTTTATTCAATGTACGGTTGTATTGGTGGGGCTGAGAAGTTGCGACGCCTGGGTCATACCTTCTTTATCAGCCTTACCGCAGACTACTTCTGAGTCGGATGGAACATTGAACACCGCAGAATGTTTGTGGCAACAAAAAGCAAAGACTAGGCTGACTGTTCGCAACATCATGTGGCGGGCTGGGCTGTAGGGCATCTCCAGCGCGCGACAGCGCATTTCTTTAGAAGCCGTCAGGCAGATGAAGTGTACCAGCAGGGAAGTCAGCAAATTAAATCTGCAATATCAGAAATACTTTTTATAAGGGCTAGATTTAATATAAGAATAAGTACTTCTAATACTGTAGGTTGCAGATCAGTACCTATATCTCTACTAGATTCCCTCCTTGCCACAAGTCCTTTAGGCAAATTGATTAGCAGCCGATTAATACTGGAATAGATTCCACTTTAATACGCTTTATCTGCTTAACGGCTTCTAAAGGGATTAGGCCATTCTAGCGTGAAAACGCACTTGTAGGTCTTTGGGCTACCTATAAGTAAATAAAAATTATAGAGAGTATATAATATAAGCGCTTTTTCTGTTTTAAGTTATAATATTTAAAATAAAATAAATAAAATAAAAATCTTAAACTTTTTATATTTATATATATATTTTTATATATATATTTTGACTTTTTTTTTATTTTTTTTAAATTTTATTTATTTATTTATTTATTTATTTATTAATTTAAAGTTTTTACTTATTATATTCTATTAATTACTATTTAATTATAGTTAAACCTTTTACTAAAATTCTTTTTTATTTAATACTTACTATACCTTTATTAATACTATATTATTTTCTAGCTATATTATACTACATAAGATACCTTTTAACCTAATTAGGGTTACCCCTTTTATTAAAAGAGTCCTAAATAATAGTGGCTAGTAAAGCCTGAAAATTCTCATACAATAGGAACTACTATTTATACCCCCTCCCCATACTGGTCCAAACTTGCCTAGCGTGCGCCTTGCTAAGTTTTGCGCCTGAAGACACCTAGATGGGTTCTTTTGGGTCTTCGATAACAACAGAATATTTAGTGCCGGTTGCGGGAACCAATAGCAAAGAGCCGGTTGAAGTTCCAAGCTATAGCTACATAATACCCCGCCATTTCCAATCTGTTCAATGAGCCAGCTATTCAGCCTCTTACTCTCTCACTGTTCCAACTTCCTCAATCATCATCATCATCATGGATCAAGGGAATTTCTTCAGAAAGGCGCTGCAGCGAGCTGATGGTCCGAGCATGGGACTCTGGCAGATGGTGCCTGGCGCTAATATGTCCCGCGCCCTTGCCCGCGTGCCAGGGATCGACTGGGTGGTGATCGACTGTGAGCACGGTAATCTCGATGGTGAGTCCCTATCCATATCTGCTGATTGCTTCGCGAAACTTAGAATGCGATATCAGACAGCGCTATGCACGACGCGGTCCCTGCTGTTGCTGCAGCTGGTGCATCTCCGATAGTGAGGATCCCTGGTATGGAATCGTGGATGATCAAGAGTAAGATAAACCAGCCAGGAGCACCAACCCGACCATTCTACTTACAGCAGACAGGAGCTTTGGACACGGGTGCCCATGGAGTAGGTATCAACGCACCTAGATCCGACCAGACACTGACTAGATATGTAAGATCCTGGTACCTTTGCTTCGCACTGCGCAAGAGGCCAGAGAAATTGTCAAGGCGGCCAAGTTCCCTCCACAAGGCACGCGCGGATTCGGCTCGCCGTATGCAATGGAACGATTCAGCCCCATGCCAACAATGACCGAGTATCTCCAGCAAGCGAACAGCAGTCTTCTTACTATAGTACAAATCGAAACCCAAGAGGCCCTTGATAACTTGGAAGAGATTGCCGCTGTTGACGGTGTTGATGTACTATTCGTGGGACCATTCGATTTAGGTTCGTTGTACAGCACCGAAGTTGCAGTAGAATGTTAATTAACCCATGAATTATAGGGAACAATATCGGCCATCCTATCATACAAGGCGTCTTTAAACCACAATTGACAGATGCGCTTGCACGTGTGCTGGGGGTGAGCCACAAGTTTGGCAAGAAATGTGGAATCTACAGTACGTCTGGCAAGCAAGCGAGAAAATATGCCGAAGCTGGGTTCGATATGATTCATGTGGCGACTGACTTCACATCGTTGCAATTCATTATGGCGCAGGAGGTTGATATTGCTAAAGGAAGAGAGAGTACCGAAAAGGGCGGTAGTTACTAAAATCGAATATCAACAAAGATGGAAATATTTAAGAGACTGAACCTCAGCCAGTCGCCTAGTTCAAGCTGCAGAGGTTAGTTCCCACTATCACAATTAGCGTAGATGGCCATGCCCACAAGTCATGTCTTGTTAACCCGCCGCAATCGGATCAACCCAGCCCCGCTGTAGTGGTCATTCCTCACTACCCATTTTTTGAAGTCCCATTCTCTTGCTTTTACACTTCGTACCTCCGCAAACTACTCAAGAGAAAACATGAGCTCGCGGCGAATACCTCGCCAGACGCGTTCGCAACCAAGTTTAGTCTGCGATGCCAATCGTGGGGATTGGACGTCTTTTGGCGCCGTGGCGCTTCCAGCTAGAGCCCAGGATGATGGGTTCCATTGGCAACAGAGCAACCAGGTCCCCCCTGAATCATGGACCAATTTTTCGGACGATTTGCTTCCTACTTTAGATGGCGGTACTGGATTGCACTTTGATCAGACATCGTTGGATGACCTGACCTTTGGTTGCCCAGACTTGGCTGCTGGCAACTTGCTGCTCGATCACATTCATACATCCAGCCGAGGTTCATGGGGCCAGCAAGAGATCCAGGATTACTCCAACAGCGACATGTTCACTTCTTACAATATGCAGCGGGCCTTGAGTACTTCATCTCCAGCGATTCAGGAATGTCACAAGACGGATAACTCAACGATTCCCCAGTATCCTCCCATTCCCATCGCCCCAAATTCGACTCTTCCACGCCGCAGAAGTCGCTATTCTCTCAGACATACACTGAATGGTGGACGGAGCATTCATATTCCTGTCTACGACGCAAGTGAGAAAGCCTCCGAGCCCTTGCAGAGATGGAGAAATAGCCCTCCAGAAACCGAGCCGGCATCTTGGTCCGCTATTTATGATACATTGCAAGGAAATCCTCTGGGCGATAGCATCCAAGCCCCTTTGACCAGGATGGAATCATCAAGTCCGAGCGTGGCCAGTTGGCACAGTCAATCTTCAAGCTCAATTGTCTCTACACAATCGTCTCGCTCGTTCCAGAATCGCCACAGAAGACGAGTCACGAAGAGGAGGACTGACGTCGCTGGTACCAATAGGAAACCCCGAATCTTCCATTGCACATTTTGTTGCGATTCGTTCTCCAAGAAGCACGACTGGACCAGACACGAAAAGACGCTCCATCTTGACTGCGACCAGTGGATTTGTGCACCTTACGGTGGTGCAGTGGTATCATCATTAACTGGCAGGAGTACATGTGCATACTGCAATATCCTTGATCCTACTGAACATCACCTAAACTCTCATAACCATGACGCATGTCATAATGGTCAACAGCCGCACATTTTCAGGCGTAAAGACAACCTCATTCAGCATCTCCGCGGGTTTCACCAGCTAGACACACTGCCCATCTTGGATGACTGGAGGATACCGCCTCCCCCGATCTCCTCGCGATGCGGTTTCTGCGACCAGCATCTCACGTCTTGGCAGGACCGTGCCGACCACCTCGCACAGCATTTCCGCCAGGGCAAAACAATGGCAGATTGGAAAGGCGATCACGATTTTGAACCCTTGATCGCTGCACAGGTCAGAAACGCGCTGCCGCCATACCTCCTTGCAAACGAGGCTTTGACCATGGTGCCTTTTTCCGCCACGGATCCAACGGTGCCGGACCATTTCGCTCAGATAGAAGAGAGGAATGGCAAGACTGTCCCGGATCCCGAGCAACAGCTCGATCCCGGGTTCGACTTAACCCCTGATTCTTATACCAAGTTTCTAGCGTGGCATTTGGGTCGTTTTGCTCAACAGTCTTTCGCGAGTGGTGTCTTTCCAACGGATGAGATGTTCCAGGGCGAGGCAAGGAGGCTGGTGTATGGCAATGATGATAACTGGGAACAGACTATAGCTGATAACGAACAGTGGATCACTACTTTTCGGCGACAGCATTTATCAAAGGAGTAAAGCGTGATGGCATATAGCGAGATAGTTTATACAGAGTTGGATATTGGCTGATACACCAATTTCATCAACCTTCCAGAAAATGGCTGCATATTGGTACTGACTTTGATTTCTCCCTGTAGACTTGATCAAGGCGCTGCTTAGGCCGTGATCTAGAGCAGAGCCCCGCAATGCTATCATTGCACGAAAATTGCAATCTCTCGTGTGGCCATGCAAGCTAAACTAGTCAGGCGCATTATGGCTCCACAGCGCAGCGCCGTAAGGCGCAAAGTGCACCAGCCGATATCGTATTCCACACGCCCTTTGGCAAGCCAGACCAAAACCGTAGATAAGAAATCACTTTGTAGGCGCAGGGTCTTGTAATAAGGCGTCAGATGACCTCCAGATGCCGTTACTTGTCGTTCGAACAAGACAACTAAGCGACATGGGACACTCAACAACAACGGAGGTATCTGGCTCCCCTGGTGGGAGTCAAGTCAAAATTGAACTCATGCGCAAAAGGCGAGCTACAGCTACCAAAATAAGGCCGGGCACGGCTGCCATGTCAGACAGCGACATGTTCAAATTACCCGTAAGCATCCGGGTTTCGTGGTGATGGCGATGAGGTTAATCAGGATATAGGCCGATGGAAAGCCTTTAGCCAAAAGTTGGGAGAGTGTGTTACCTCGATTACTGTATTCAGATCCAGCGCTGATGTCTTGCAGCACACTTCAGTAGCGAGAGCAATCGTCCCCCATGCGTCCTCAAACAAGCCGCCGGTTACATCAAGACACCCGGTCTGATCTCCCTTGGCGGCGGCCTGCCCTCTAGCGAATACTTTCCTATCTCTGAGATCGCCATGCGTGTCCCTACGGCTCCAAACTTCTCCGAGAAGCAGCATCTCCTCGACTCACCAGCTGGCGGCGCCCAGATAGCTCGCATTGGTAAATACGACACCAGGGACGGTACCTCGGACTTCGACATATCTATTGCCTTCAACTACGGCCAAGCAACAGGATCCCCACAGATGATGCGCTGGGTTACAGAACACGTTGACCTTGTCTATAACCCGCCTTATGCAGATTGGGGAGTTTGCCTGACCACTGGAAGTACAGCAGCTCTGGAGCAGACCGTTCGTATGCTCTGCGACCGGTTCAGGAATGATTCCATCCTTACTGAGGACTACACCTTTGCGACAGCGATGGAGACCTTTGTTCCACAGGGCATAAAGGTCTTTGGGATCAATATGGACGATCAGGGACTGTTGCCCGGTCATATGGATCACATTCTGGAGACTTGGGATGAAGGGGATCGAGGCGCTCGGAAGCCCCATCTCCTTTATACCGTGCCTTCGGGACAGAACCCTACTGGCGCGACTCAGAGCCTCGAGCGTCGACGTGAGATTTACAGAGTTTGCCAGAAACACGACATATTTATCATCGAAGACGAGCCTTACTACTTCATCCAAATGAAGCCCTACACGGGACGAGGGACTGAAGTCGTGGGGGATGACACTGTCGACGAGTTTCTCACTACACTTGTCCCAACATATCTCAGCATGGACGTAGATGGCCGAGTCCTTAGAATGGACTCCTTCTCCAAAGTCCTAGTCCCCGGTTCGAGAATGGGTTGGATAACTGCTAGCAAGGAGGTAATCCATAAGTATCTCTGTCATGCTGAAGTTGCAAATCAGGGGGCTAGCGGTATATCACAGCTAATCATCTGGAAACTGGTGGACGAGACATGGGGTCACGAGGGTTATCTCAAATGGCTCATTGATCTGAGGACGAGCTATACTAGACGGCGCAATGCCTTACTTGCAGCTTGCGAGGACTACCTGCCCATGGATATTGCATCATGGGTCCCGCCAGCTTCTGGCATGTTTGTAGGTTCCTTGGTTTATACTTTAATGTTGGAGAGAGGTACTGACTTTTGTAATAGCTATGGTTGAAACTTGATCATACAAAACACCCAGATTACCAGCGCCGAAGTCTGGAGGAAATTGAAGTGGAAATCTTCCAGAACAGCATTGACCAGGGAGTTCTCTTTGCTCGTGGCTCGTGGTTCCGAGCCGAGCCGCATAAGGAGCTGAAGGAGTTGTTTCTACGTGTCACCTTTGCAAGCGCGGCTGAGGAGGATATGTGTACGGCAGTTCAACGCCTCAGCGCGGCAATCAAGAAGTCTTTTCAAATAGAATTATAGATTACTAGGTCCAAGGATAAGTATAAAGGTTAACTAATAGACTTCAGTATTGGCCATTCGATGTTAATTAAAAGAGCAGCAGTATGCTATATTTCTATTAAAATACATATGTCTCGTTCAAAAAGCATCATCGTGGGGCTCATCATACTGGTTGATAAGTCTTTGCGGTATCAACCCTCGTAACACAACAACTCCAGCATGCAAGATCCCCCACCTAACCTTGCTCAACGTCTCAGCCATAGTCCAGACAAGCCCCACAATCTGACGTTGTTGGCCTGGCTTCACAGCCATACTTTCAGGACCATGCTGAGCCATTCTTGACACGAGGCTATGCATTTCTCCTCGAGGATCCCAGATGATCTCATCACTCTCGTCATCACTGTCATCAGCATCGTCGTCTACATCTAGCATACCTCCTCTATTGGGCTGACCGTGGCAGAATGCCCAACATGCCAGAGTGGCAAGGTATAGGCACCAGGGGACGTGGAAAAGTTGCATTGCGTCTGACCGAGTAAGCACTTTCGTGTTTTCATGAAGCAGTCGTGATGCATGCCATGCAGCCACAGATGCTGGCCTCTTGTGGCTTCTCGTATTGTGTTCGGCGTCTGAAGGTTGATCTTTGCTTGGTCGTTCTGTCACTGAAGCCCACTGTTTGACCGCTTTTGCGGAGCGACGATAGTCCTTCTGCTGGACTGGTCGGCCCAAGATATGACGAGCACCAGCGTAAATCTGTATGTCGAGAAATTCCATATGAAGAAGTGCTTGTGCTGAGTGAAACAAAGCATTGTACGCAGTGGCAAATGCCACGTACTCGCTCCTTCTCGCCTGATCCTCAGGTGTATTCTGAAGTCGAGAAATAATTGAGGTTATGTAAGCATCAAAATCCTTCTTCCAAGCGTCATAAGCGTTCCCTATGAGCTTCCGCCAGTTGGATCCGGGTCCATCCCCATCCACTACTCCGAGGGATGTCTGATCGCGACGCTGCATATCCCAAGCGATGGACATCAAGCCATGCAGCATAAGTACATGAGACAGTCCTGTCAATGCTTTTGGACGAGGCACTGATGGCCCGAGATATGATTTGAGGCTGGGAAGGTAGAAGTTCTGCTGGGAACTGCAGGCTGATGAGCGCCATGCCATTTCCCACGATGTTGGGTCTGAAGCTTCCCATATTCTTTGGTTGCATGGCAGTTCAAGGCGAAGCTCAAATGCGGACATGCACAGACTCTGGCAGAACAGAACTGCATGCTGTGTATCCCACATGAAGCACAGAAGTGCGAGGCTATGACTATACGTCAGCTGAATGCTAGTAGTGAGTGGCTTCTTGAATGACATACCGTTTCTTTTGTTCTGCAATGGCCCATCGTCGCCAAGCCTCTCGAACTACAAACTCTCTTGCATCGCCGCAGTCAACAGGCGGCCCTTGAGGGCGGACCGACTGGCAATCGGATCTGCGAATAAGATTTATAAGAAGCCCATGAAAGAGGTGGCTCATGTCGTGCTGCTTCTGTCCAGCTCGAGACTTTCCAAAGCATTCTACTAGAAGGATACTCTGCAGAGTCCAAAGTTCTGCACGAGCTGAAAAACTAGCATGAGAAAAGATGCTAGGCCGTATAACATCGTGGATGCACACAGCCAGCTGATGGGCGTCTTTGGAAGAGTATGTTGCGCCAAGAAGGAGGACGGAGATGAGAAGCAGAGGCTCCATTTTGGCCACATCAAAGGTTGCAAGGTGCATGAGTGGGTAGGCAGTATTGAACTTTACGAAGAACAATTCTAGGTACGTTTGTAGGGAGTCTCGGGACAGTAGTGGCTCATCCCACACGGAGTGACGAGAATCAGGTAAAGATGGGTTTGCAGTCTCGACGACTTGGAGGATTCGTTTGTGTACGCTTTCGTCAATCTTTGGTATTGCCTGGCTTTTGTCAAGCATCGAGAATGGCCTGTTGAACTGTGGTTCCTCGACGTGCTGTTGGTCATGGGCGCCGTGAGACTTGAATGGTTTGGCACTTTTATGTTGTGTTGGCGTTGTATAATCAGTTGTAGAGCTGACAAGGCTCTCTGGAGTTGTCTTGATATGGTTCAAGACGGCGGTTCTTGGATCAGGTGCATCTTGCCTCGTATCACTGTTGTGAGATTGTACCGACTCAGACCAACGGCGTGTGCTGTTGATAGAGTCCGGTGATAATATCTGGACGGGCTCCGACATTTGGGCGGGTGGTATATACTGCTCGTTTGCCTTTGTAAGAGGTGTTGATGTTGGGTTCAAGTTCATGTTAAATAGCCAGTTGTAATCCAACGCAGTCGTATAGGGCATGTTAAACGAGCTGGCGGTATCTGGTTGAAAGTTTTGCGTGTAATCAAGTGCCGTGTTATCCACGAACGACTCGTTGAGGAGTAGAGGGTCAAGCTGGTCGAATGAGAAGTCGCCTATACCCTCACCATGGTCAAATGGGTCAGTTGAGTTGGTAAAGCTGGCCAACTGGTCGTCTGTAACCAGTTCACCCGCGGAGTGAACAAAGATGGAGTCTTCAATATGTAAGTCGGACGAGGAATGAAGATTGACTCCTTGCACTGACTGGCCTTCGCTATGGCCCCAATTGATCAGCCCAGGGGATTGAGTCCTTGTATTATCTGCTTGGTCTGATTCTGGAGATGGGACTTGTTGTGTTTCTTGAGAGTTCTGTCGCGAACCCTTTGCAGTCTTGGCTTTCGTGTTGCTGTTTCGACACGGTCGCTTTTCAACGACCGTACCGTCGGGTGCTTCCCAGGATCTCTTGCGTGTATCGAGAACGCCGAAACCGGTTCCTCCAGCCTCTAGATCCTTCTGGCGATGTCTTTCCATATGTCGCCCTTTGGATACGTAAGAACAAATTTTGATTGACTCGGCTATACACAACATGGTCACTCACTCAGCAAATCAGGCCGTTTGAAGTGTGCACGGCATATGTCACATGAAGAGCCGCCCGGCAAGTGATTGAGAGCATGTCGCTGTAGGTGTTCAGAGCGTGTGAACTTCTTGCTACAGCCCGGATGAGTACATTCAAACGACTTGTCACTTTGAGGAGCTGGCTGTGAGGTTGCAGAACCAGAACCTCTTCGAGAGGTATCTGATTGACCCTGCGATTGTGTCTGTTTACGACCCATGGCTTCTGTAAGAAACGCATCGACCGCTAGGGACAGCTCGTCGTTGGCTCCGTACATGGCTGTAGAGTGGGATGAGGTGGGAAATGTTAAAGATGAACGAGAGATAGAGTGAGGGAATGTTTGGGTTCTAGAGTGGGAGGAATTGCCGAATGCCGTTGAACTCTGACTGGTTAGTAGCGTAACTCTGATAAGTGATAGGCTTGGCTGGACTCCGCCTCGGTGCTACCTATGCCCCACCCTTATCAACTTCCCCGCACATTATCTTGATAAGTGGGAGGATGCTAACGGGCATGGGTGAGTGGGTAAAGGAACTCGGGCTCAAGATCCATGCTTGGGCTAGCGATGGCCATCTATTCCCAGAACGTAAAGGCACGAGCATATCGGCAATCGCCTTGGTAAATCGGACAGCGCAGTACATGGCACCACCACTTGTGTCTGCTTTGCCACAAGACCAAGACTGCGTCGCATATACCTTTAATACGAATGTAGAGACCTTTTGCTCAATATTATCCCCTCTACCCATTGCCAATCAAGATCCAGCAGACTAGAGACAACATGCCCAACTACAAGATACAGGAAGTGATGGACAGGAGTGATTCAAGCAAACTCCATGTAGGTTTAAGACTCTATATCTCAAGACACTTCAAGGTTAATTTGTATTTAGGTGATAATTGTAGGCGCTGGCCTCGGTGGCCTCGGTGCTGCAATCGCTGTCCGTCTGGCCGGCCATGATGTCACGGTTTTGGAGTCTGCACCAGCAATCGGCGAAGTCGGCGCCGGTATTCAAGTCCTTCCCAACGCTGCTCGAGTTCTCTTCTCCTGGGGCCTCGAGAAGGAACTGGTTAAAAATGCTACCAAGCCAAGAAAATGCAACTTCATTGGCTGGAAAGGGAACCATCTCTCAGAAATGGACTACCATGGCTATGCGGCTGCCTCGGGAGGATACCCGTTCCTCGACTTCCACCGCGCGACTCTGCATAAAGCACTTCTAGATAGATCTCAAGAGCTAGGGGCCAAGATCATTTGCGGATCTAAAGTCTTGTCTTACGAGATAGCGGCCGACAACAGCCACGCAACTGTGTTTCTAGAAGGAGGGCAAATCATGAAGTCTGACTTGGTCGTCGGTGCTGATGGCATCGCCTCTTCCCTCAGAGAGCAGTTCCTCGGTCGACCCGATCCTCCACAATTGACGGGCGACTTGGCCTACCGGTTGCTACTGTCAACAGACGAGATGAGAAAGGACCCAGACCTGAGGCCATTCGTGGAGGATCCCCAAGTTAACTACTGGGTCGGCCCCGATAAACATGCAGTCAACTACGTACTGAAAGGAGGAGAACTCTTCAACATGGTTCTCTTAGTGCCAGATGACATCCCACTCGACAGCGGCAACACTTTGAGGGGCAACATCGAAGAGATGAGAGCCCATTTCGCCGATTGGGACCCTCGCATCGGGAAGATGCTTAACCTATGTGACTCTGTTCTCAAGTGGAGATTATGCATTCGACCTGGCCTCGACCCGACTTGGTCACACCCTTCAGGAGCCCTCACCATGCTCGGCGACTCTGTTCACGCTACACTACCGTATCTGGCCAGTGGTGCCGGTATGGCTCTGGAGGACGGCGGCGTCCTTGGACTTTGCCTCGCCAAGCTTACCGATAAATCACCAGCCTCAAAGCTAAAGGCTCTAGCTGTCTACGAGGCATGTCGAAGAGAACGCACGGAAATGGTTGTGCAAAGAGGGACATACAACCAGTGGATATACCATCTGCCCGATGGCGAAGAGCAGAGGCAGCGAGATGAGCGGTTCAAGCAATATGGAAAGTGGGATGAAGAGTGGCTCAGTGGAGAGAATC